AACTGTGAGAAAGTAGTCGTCCATGGAAAAGAATAGGCCGTATCAGATTCGTTTTCTTAGTTCACATCATACATGTAATAGTTTATTTTTCAGCAAATTCGTGACATATTTTTGCCTACTCTTTTTCGTTCTTCTTCTTTCGCTGAAGCTAGATCAAAAAATCAATGTAGGATATGCTATTGTATTTCTTCCCATATGGATCTACAACTTCCTTATTTTTTCCGGTGCTTTAGTTGGAGTAGTGTCGTTCCTATCCAGGCCACCTTCACAGTAAGTTTATTTTAATCTCTATGTGTTCTGATTTTAATCTCAAACATCAGAGTTCTCTTAAAAGAACCTTCCACGTGGAGCATTTTGTTGTTAACTGTTCTGTTGATTTGTAAGATGAATCTAGGTTTTTCACTTGACTATACTTCTTCCGTAACAGAAGGTGTATTCAGAAATGACGTCGCTCTCCGTGTGGATTTTACAGCTATGCAATTAACAACCGTGGAGCATTCATTTCTGTTCATCTTTGCTCTGTTGACGTATTGCAAGGTCAGTTTACCGTTTTCAGGGCTATAATTTTCGACTATGATTGTATGACTTTTCCAAGTATCAACTTTTCCCAAAGAAGTTGTTGTTCCTGGGCGGGTGGCGGAATGTGGGGGCGGCATTCTACTGAACTGCTATTTTCTTTTTCGCTTTTGTTATCCAGAAAGACATGTGAACTCTCGTGTTAGAGACAACTCCCGCGACCCAGTATTACGATCATGATTGTGGGTGTTCAATCATGAACTAATAGACAAGTAACTAACCAGCAGAGAAATAAGTGAAAAGACCTGAATAGTGCCCTTAACAAAACCCCTTCCTGACGGTCACACAGCCTCACTGAATAACTCGTGAGGTTGCAAAAGAGTTCTAAACTAAGGTTCTACGCGACGAGCATATGAAACTGCTGCAATGCTGCACGCAACAAAAGTCAAACGCGTAGTTCACCGTGTAAGTCGTTATTTTACAGATTAAAAACAACAAAGTGCACGAGATTCGCGCATCTGTGACCGCTTCATCTCGCCCATTTAGTGACTAGAAGTCCACTCTCTGCGAGTGCGACCTGTCGGAAACCGTCTTTAAGTAACGAAAATGACGAAGATAGCTAAGCTTCATTGGTAAAACGCGGATCCTTACGAAGTTGAGAAATGGATCATGTATGGCTATATTAGCTTCACAAGTGTTTCAGATCTTCGCAAAGGAACCTCCACACGTTTCGCTAAGCGGTGTACCTTTTCGTTGCTCCGCAAGAGTTCATAAGCTTCCACCTCACTGGGACTAGCAAAATGCTTTCCTCTAAACTGAACAGCGTTCTAAAGAATGGGGTTTTCAGTCTATTTTGGACTGTAGGTTACACCATGGTGTTCCACCACCGGCATTTCCCTGTTTTGGGGTGTTATTTTTTTGTTTTCGGGCCCAGAAAGTTTGTCATTATATGAGAAATTATCGTTAAATTGCGGGTTATTGTTGAGAAAAATGGTATAATATCCGGGTTGTACGCAGTGCAGTGGTCTGCTTTGAACTGAAAGGGAACTTCATTGAAAGCGCGTTCAGCAGTCCCCTGAATAAAAGCCATTGTCACTTTACCCTGTAATGAACGCCATTGACGAATGCGCTGATCTCCGCCTCCATCTTTCTGCTCTCTCCCCTTCTTGGTCCGAGGTACCATTGTCCTTTCATCATACACTGTTTATATTTGTATATTCGTTGAATACTTAAAATCAACGGCAAAACGGAGGGCGTTTTATGAAGTAGCAGTGCTTTCTTTTCTTTTTCTTCTCCGGTATTACCATTACTACCACTTGTTATTAATACCTTGAGTTTGTGGACCCACTGGTCAGTTTTGGAAGGTGCCGTTCAGATCATTTATTCATGGAAATGGTCCAGTTTTTTATTTTCTTTTTTTCGATTATTTACATTTTTTTCCAGTTGGAGTTGTCGGTGTTCTTCCGGAACAACCTCGAGCTTCACTGGATAATTGTCTTTTCTCCGTTATTTGCTTTATCTATTGCTTCAATTGGCCTGGTAGTGTGGGCGATGCGAAGAGATAAGT